AATCTGGTCTTCCGAAGATACTAAAGGAAGACCACCACAAAGCTACCATTCTCCTCGACTCCCAACCACCAATTCTCAAATTGAAATATGATTTTGAATTTTCCCGGTCACCACAATTGAGAAGAATAGGGGTGTGGTCAGAAGTAGCTTTGGTCACTGATTGCCTGATGCTCCTAAAGCTTTCATCCCAATTTGAAAAACCTATCCAATCGGGAGGCAATGACAGAGTTATTGTCTTTGGACCATGTATACCTTCCTCCAATTAAAGGAAGATCAAGAAGCTCTAAATCCTCAATGAAGTTGGAGAAATCAGTCATGGCCCTTGTTATGATGTTGTTATTTCTTCTTTCCTCCATAAACCTGGTGATATCAAAAATCACCACATATTACCCAAGGTCCATTAAAGGTTCCTCGGGAGGCAGTAGCTTCCCACAAGACATTCCTTCTTTCTGATCTATGGTGTGGAGCATAGACTCCAGTCAAGTGCCATAAAAAATTATTCCTCTAAGATACAAAATTGCAAGTGATGGTATAACTTCCCACATTAATCACCACCCCCCTACAAGTTCTACTGTCCTATAACCACAATATCCCCTTGGTGCTACTAGCTCCCAAATCTAACCCACATGTACCCCCCAAATCTCTTTCACGAACCCCCGGACATCACCTTCTAATTTGAGTTGTTGCAAGCAGTAAATATCAGCCTTCCAGTTCTCTATTAATGACTTCACAATAGATCTTTTATCCCTTTTATTCAATCGCCTAACGTTCCATGAGTTAATTTTTACCTTCACTGATAAAAGTTGCTGATGGATTTCCCCCTGCTTCTACTGCTGGATTCAGGGAAGGAAGTTCATGTTGAAAACTAGATTTTGAACCTCCATGCTCCCGTTTCTCTTTTTCAGAGTCGATACTAAACTAAGAGCTGCTGCTTCTCTTTTTTGTAACCTGCGTCTGACAATTTTCATGAACAGTGACAGGGCTTATGGATCATCAACACACCGGCTAAGAAAAAGTACGTAAGGTATACGCCTTCCAATTCTCATGTCTTAAGCACGAGATTTGTTCCAATTTTGTGGAATGAGATACTCCACCCCTGGAAATTCACCCCATATGCTTTGCGCATCTTCATTACATTTTTGTGTACCCATAAGGAGGCTTCCATCTCAGCCTCTAAAATTAGAAATCCAAAGGTTGTACTTCATCAACTGACCATGTATCTTGGTCCTCGTAGTCCACCAGTTGTTGGTCATGTATTGGAGGATGAGTGAGAGGAATGATTTCTCCACCAAACTAGTTTGACCTTCTTCTTCTTCAGTGCCAACGTGCGAGCCAACTCGTCTATCATGGCTGTATCTAGCATAGCCTCTTCTCTCGAAGAAAAAGCAGATGAAATTTCAATGGCCCTTGTGATTTGGTTTACGTTAAATTCCTCCTCCATTGGGTCAGATCTATCTTCTGGGTAAAGAAGTGCAAATATTTTGAGTAGTAGTATGTTTCTCCGGTCTGGGCTTTTTATTAAATCCAAATAAGATTTTGTATTAAAAGGGGTATTGGGTCTTTCTATAATAGGCCCAATAGTTGGCTTTGGGGCAGCTAGAAGCCCTTCTTTAACAAGACATCACTCATTGAAATGGTCCCACATGCCCTTCCATTATACCAGGTCGCCGGCGATTCAAACCTGATCGGAATAGAAAAAATTACTCTGTTTTTCTCCACCTCTATGACTTTTGGGATTATTTCAAATGGACCCTTGACTTTGATTCGAGCCCATTTCAGATGATTTGTGAGGGAAGTTTCCTCCTCTGTTTCAATCTAGCCTCCACATTTGTCTCTGACTAAGTTGCTCCGACATGGCAGTTTAGGTGCCGCACCCGTGTCGACACGATACTAGTATGGGTGTGGTATGGGATCCGTATTGGATCTAGTCAAACAATTTTGGGTACTTTGACCACGACGGACGAAAAAATTCGAGATGAGATACAATTTGATTTCTGAAATCAGAACCAAAACTAGGATTAATTTGAAGAAAATAGCATACCTTATCTAGGAAATCAATCATTTATTTATCTACAACTTGAAAATAAAAAAGAAATTCACACTTTACAAGCTATACGTAAGTATTCCACAAAATTTCGCATAATTTAGATTTATTTATTTATTTATTTTATTTTATTGAATTATTTTTAGTCGTATCCTCGCACCCGTATCCGTACTAGGATCCATATCCCTGAATCTTAGAATTTACATCTCGAAGGATCCGACCTCTATGTAACGACCCGACCGGTTGTTTTGAGCATTTGCACTTCGCTCGGTAGTTTACGGGCATGAGTAGCTCCGTATGATGCATTATGACTTATGTGAATCGTCGGTTTTGATTTTCAGGTTATTCGGAATCGAATTGGAAGAATGGATTTCATTGTCGAAGCTTTAAATTGGGAGAGTTGACCAAGTTTGACTTTTTGTGAATTTGAACCCGGAACGGAGTTTTGATAGTTCTGTTAGCTTCGTTGGGTGATTTTGGACTTAGGAACGCGTCCGGATTGTGATTCGGAGGTCCGTAGTGGAATTTGGCTTGAAATGGCGAAAGTTGAATTTTTGAAAAGTTTGACCGAGGGTTGACTTTTTGATATCGGGGTCGGATTTCGATTCCAGAAGTGGGAGTAGGTCCGTAATGTCGAATGTGACTTGTGTGCAAAATTTGAGGTCAATCGGACGTGATTTGATAGGTTTCGGCATCGGTTGTGGAAGTTTGAAATTTCAAAGTTCATAGATTTCGAATTGAGGTGTGATTCGTCGTTTCGATGTTGTTTTGTGTGTTTTGAAGCCTCGAGTAGGTCTGTATTATGTTATAGGATTTGCTGGTACATTTGGACGGGGTCCCGAGGGGCTCGAGTGAGTTTCGGACGTAGTTTGGATCATTTCGAATGGTTTTTGCATTGTTGGTTTTTCTGCTGTTACCTGTTGCTTCTGACGTTCTTCGCGATCGCGAAGGCTTGGCCGCGATCTCGAAAGGTGTTTGATCAGTGGAGCTATTTGTTCTTCGCGTTCGCGCTTCTGAGGTCGCGTTCGCACTGGATTGAAGATTGTAGTCTTCGCGTCCGCGTCCATGGCTATGCGTTCGCGTAGTGTTGAGCGGGGGTTGGTCAGTCTATATGGATTCTTCATCGCGTTCGCAGGGAGTTGTCCGCGATCGCGGAAGTCTGGTAGTGTGTTTCATCGCGTTCGCGAGGGCTTTGCCGCGAGCACGTAGTGCAAAGTGAGGCAGTGTGGATTTGTGCTTCGCGAACGCGAGGCTTCTACCGCGTTCGCGTAAGAGGATGCCTGGGCAGAAGTATAAAGTACTCTATTTCGAGGGTTTCGGCCATTTTTACATTTTTGGAGCTATGGAGCACGGATTGAGGCGATTCTTGAAGCAATTTTCACCATATGAATTGGGGTAAGTGTTCTCTACTCGGTTTTGGTTATATTTCATGAATCTATCTTCGATTTTAGCGTTTACTTGATGAATTTTAAAGAGGAAATTGAGGGTTTTCGCCGAAAGTTTCATAATATAAATTTTTGAGTTTTGAACATCGAATTGGAGTCGGATTTGAGTGAAACTAGTATGGTTGGACTCGTAATTGAATGAGTTGTCGGGTTCCGATGTGTGGGCCCGGGTGGGGCTTTTTGGCCGATTTTGGGCTTTTGATTCAAGATTTGATCTTTTTCGATCGGGATAGGTTCCTTTAGCATTGTTTGATGCATTTGAGTTGTTTTTGGTTAATTTCGAGTCGTTCGGAGGTCGGAACACGCGGATGGCATCTTTGGAGTATCGCTTGGCTTTCTCGGCATTGGTATTGGCTTGTTCGAGGTAAGTAACTCTTTTAATCTTAGTGCTGAGGGTATGAAACCCCGAAATACGTGTTATGTGATTGGTATTGAGGTGACGCACNGCGTCGCAACGAGCCTTATGGCTATTTATATATTATGGGGTCGGGATGCACGCCGCAACGATATAGCGCTTGGGCTGAAAGGAGCCCCTCCAGGAGTCTGTACACCCCAGTGAGCGCAGTCGACTATATATATATATATATATATATATGTGGATCGGGCTGCACGCCGCAGCAGTTATTATACAGCGCTGAGTGATTGAGTGAGAGCATAGTGAGAGAGGATGCGAGACAGTGAGATTGAGTACTCTGAGAGTGTGAGTACATGATTCATCTCTGAGGTACATGGCATTTGCATGCACGCATGACATACAGGCATAGAGATGCATTTTTCCTCGTGCTATACGGTATCACGTCATTCATGATTTTTTTTTATACACATTGATATGTGAGCATAGAGAGGTATTTTATACTTGTTATCTGGAAAGAATATGAAACATTTTTTTTATTTATTGTGGAAAGGATATTTGAAAAATTACAGTTTTCAAACTTACTCGTATTTTTGGCATTTTCGGTAAGAGACTTGGGTTTTTCACCGAGATACTTGAAAAGCATGACCATTTTCTGAAACTGTGAACGAGCTGAGCATTTTTACTTCTGAGATACCTCTTTTATCCTTGTATTTGTGCTGTTATGATTTTTTGCGGGATTTTGGTATTGAACTCGACCTTGTGTTAGCTCGTCACTGCTTTCAACCTAAGGTTAGGTTTGTTACTTATTGAGTACATGGGTCGGTTGTACTCATACTACACTTCTGCATCTTGCGTGCAGATGTTGGCTGCTGTTATAGCTGTGTTCGATGGGAGCTGGATTGAAGATGTACCTACGTCCCGGCTGTAGTTGCCTCTTGTTCGTGGTAGCTTTAGATCTGTAAAACTCTATTTATGTACTATTCGAACAGACTATGTATTTATTTCATTTCTGTTTTGTAAACTCTATTCTTAGAAGCTCATGATTTATACTACCAGTTCTTGGGGAATGTATAAGATCAAGACTTTTCATTACTTAATTGCTTTATAAATTGTTATTGGAATTGGTTAGTGTTTAATTGGCTTACCCAGCGGGTTGGGTTAGGTGCCATCACGACTAGTCGGATTTTGGGTCGTGATACTCTAGATCCGTACCCATGTCGGACACCCGCACCCATGTCCGAGCAACTTAAGTCTCTGATTTGTTTGAAGATTTTTTGGGACCAAAGATACGGAGAAATCCCCAGCAATCTCACTCAAACCCAATCAAGTTTTGTTGCAGCTAGAAAGTAACCCACTGTCGGTGCCCACCATTCAAGAATCAGCAATAAATTCCTCCATCTCTATTCCTCCATCTTGATATGATCCGCCATTTTTCTTACCGGAAACTCAAACAAGAATTTCCATCCGTGCATTTCGTACATCTGCCTGGAATATTGCTTTATTTGTTACTGACCCATCTCCTAACGTCAGAGAACGTGGGTAGCTCTTTCGAGACGCTGAAGCTTCCAACCAAACATCCACTCAACAAATCCTTATCAGAAATTTCAGGGCCTTGAACAATTACATTTTTATGCATGAAAATTTGCACAGTTGATGTCGAAGCCCCCTTAGGTTCCCATTTATCAGTCTTGAAAGCTTCAAAATAAGAGTGGTTAGCTGCTGGAATAGCACGCCTATGCACGACTGGGACCGCCTTATTTATGAATATCTCTATCTTTAATGCTACAGATTTCCAACCCACATTGAATGCTGCTTCTAGGAGTATTATGACTGCTCTCCGTTCCCCCGTATTGCTAGTACACTTATGTATCTGCCAAAATCGTTGTATTTCTTTGTGCAAAAGAAGTTATATACGCGGTCTCTGGTCTTCCATCTCCTGAGTTCATTCCCCCTCCCTTCAGACGAAGTATGCAGAAGCTTGCAAGCCCACAACATGACATTCCGGCTGAGAGTCATCTTTCTCACAAAATTCTTCTTGCGTTCCACCCATTCGTACCAGACCTCTGCACCATTTGTAACTTTAGTAATATCAAAGGACTTCTCACCGATAATAAAGTAAATTTTGTCAACCATGATTCTAAGTAAAAGAGAGAAAACCAAGTTTTTGAGCCAATCATCAAGACATGATTGATAAAAAAACTAAGTGAAACCAAGGAGCATAACACCGCAAAGAAACAAAAGAGCCACCAGAGAGAGATGTTAGGCTCTCTACTCATAACTAGTGCCTAGGAGCATTTTTTGCTTTAACATCAAGTTTTTACACTATGAACATCTTCATAAACACTGGCTTTCCATAATCTGATCCTTAACCACACAAGGAACCACCCTATAACTTCTAACACAAGCACTTTTGCGCACTGAGCATAGAGATGCTTCTCAAAGTAGAGCTAACTGGTCATAAAATGCAATATTACCACTGGAACACTTGAAAGAGGCATAAAATCTTTTACTTACAGTTTGCACAGCCAAAAAACCAAGAAAAACACATCCCTAGCCACAAAAAGTCTGAATTTTGTTTTGCGCCAATTTCCGTCCTCCAGCTCGGCCACTCGAAGATGAAATTGAGCCTTACAAGTTGTGCAATGCGAAAATGCAAACCCTTCCTGCATAACAATCAAGGGGTTACAACTGAAAGCTTTATCACAAATTAGTAACCCATATTCAACTAGTAGGAAAGAAAATATCTAACTTTGACAGATCTCCAATGATCAAGGCAAGAGCGATGCACATATTGTTGGGTGCCTTTGCACATGCAAGGAGATATCAGTTCATCGTCTGAAAACAACAGCACAATCAGGCCGAAGGAAAAAGTCCGTTGTACAATTTAGCATTTAAATACAATAATGTAAGCTCATCATGGCTGTAAAATTTCCACTAAGATCAGCTAACTTATCCAAAAAGGGAAACACAGATTCTTCAGAAAAATGGTTTCAGAAGTGGTAATAATGCTAAAGTAAAAGTAAATAGATCATTGCAAATGCAGCCTAAGGTTGAATTGATTAGACTATTTGAAACATTAAATATTGTCAACATCGACTAAAGCCTGTATCTTCATAATAAAAAAACTCTCACATGAGAAAATAGTAATCTGATGAAAAAGAAAGTTATAACATGAGGAACGCTTCACACAATCCCTGGGAATAAAAAGAAAATGATGCCCCATTAGGAAGACCAAAACCGCCATAAGAATAGGGTTTCTCCAGAACAAAAAATTTTCACTATGGCTTTTCATTCATTATAATCAAATGAGAAGACACAATTGTTTCAAGCACCATCACCTTATGGGCTATTCATATTTCAATCGAAAGGTAAATAGTTGCAATAACCATTCAAAGTTCTTACAACCCAATACAAATCAAGTAAAAATAAGAGGATCAAAACTAAATTATTAAACCCAAAGGGCCCCTTGTTCCGGTTTCATTCGAAGCTAAGCAGTGGCAAGAAAGACAACAAATTGAAATTTACTCAAAGATAACATATAAAATACCATCATCGCCATCACATTCGAGACAAATTCGACAGCAAGGTAAGGAACCAAGTTCGACATCTTCATCATCCTTTATTATTTCATTCGAAGGCGGAGGCTCATGTTCATTTTGATGAAGCAGAGGATCGGATTCATTAGTGTTCCACTCCTCTCCCACTACCTCCAGCTCTAATTCACTTTTCATTGGACGGAGCCTCTTTCTAATCCTCAATAGTGGACGCACAATCCTCCTTCCGCAGACTGTTTATCAGTGATCAAATCGCAATCCGGGAGAAATGAATTGAAAGAAGGAGAATAATTATACAAATAAAATAACACGAATATTGTTGATTTTTACATTGATATAAGAGGGTTTGCAGGGAGAGGGCTGCACGATGTTGGTAACTGTTGTCAATTATTTGTTCCTTGTTCCTGCGGAGCCTATTTGAGCAAAGATCAATTTTCTACACTTTCTTTTAATTTCTTTTAGGAAATTGTTATAGTGTCACGGTTGTTAGTAACAAAATTAGTATGAGATTCAAAAATAGGCAGATTTATAAGTGAAAACTGAAAAATAGAGTAATCGATTTTAGCTATTTTTCATGTAAAGATCAATCTAAACGAAAACACTTTTTAAAATTCGGAAAATATTCCAGCATAATATTTTACATGTGAACTTCCAGCATAATATAGTGGATTTTCAACATAATATACTGGAAGTTCATACACAGGTGAACTCTCTTACGCTGAGAGTTCATACACAAGTACTCCAATCTTCAGTATATATGCTGAAACTTTCCGTGTGCTGAAGTTCATACTATGCTGAAGTTCGTACACAAGTGTACCAATCTCCAGTATATTATGATGGAACTTTCCGTGTTGTAGCAAAATATGCTGGGAGTTCATACACAGGTGCTCCAATCTCCAATATATATGCTAGAACTTTTCGTGTGCTAGAGTTCATACTATGCTGGAAGTTCATACACAAGTGCACCAATCTCCACTATATTATGCTGGAACTTTCCGTGTTGTAGCAAAATAGTGGTTATTTTTTAATTACTAGTCCGAAACTGGCTAGCCCGTACTTTTTTCACAGAGAATTAGAGTATTAAAATTGAACACATATTTGAATATTAAGATATTATATTAATATTATTTTATCTTTAATTAAAAAGTTATAAATATTAAAAATTTAAATAAATTGCTAAATAATTTTATACTATATTAGAAAAATATTTTTTTTAAAATATATGGTAGTTAGTGGTGATGATAGCTAATGATGGTAGTTGTGGTGCCAACTAGGGGTGGTAGTTGGGGGTGGTTTTAGCTAATGGTGGTGGTTGTGGGGAGCATCTAGTGGTAATGGTGTGTAACCGTAGTGGTTAACGGTGGTTGATGGTGGTGGTTGATAATGTGACGATCCAATCGGTCGTTTTAAGTTTACCATTTTGTTATGTGATTCGTGACTTTGAGTAGGTCCTTATGATATTTTATAACTTACGGGTATGAGTGATTTGGAAGCGAAAGGGATCAGGGAGGATTTAGAACAATATCTTACTATTTAGAAGGTTAAAGATTAGCTAACTTACCCCTCGATCCTAGAAATAACGATTTGGTTTATGTTTTGACGCTTACAAGTTTTTATGACGTATTTACTTAAATTTATATTTGAATTAGGACCCGAGGGGCTCGGGAGCATTTCGGCATTATTGCATAAAAATTATAGTTTTAAAGTACTTTAAATCAACTTGACATGTCATTTTGAGTTGTAGCACTTTGCTTCATATGTTGAGCCTTTGGATAAGTCCATATATGTTTTTTGGGATAGTGTGGATGGTTTGAAGGGATCCCCGAGGGCTCAGGTGAGTTTCAAGGTATCAGAGGAGACTTTAAGTGAAACTGGAAAAATTTGTTGTGTAGTAGACCTGTCGCATCGCGCCGGGCAATGCATGGGGCGTCGCAACAACGTAGCTTTTCAGCAGTTTTACCTTCCTCTTTAAATAGCCTCATTTCGTACCCAAAGTTCATTTTACCATTTTGGAGTTAGGGCTCAGATTGAGGCGATTTTTGAATGGTTTTTCATCTATGATGTTGTGGTGAGTCTAAATCGAATGTATGATGATATCATGAATCTATTATCAATTTTATCTTGAAACATAGATTGAAGGTTAAATCAAGTGAAAATTTGGATAAAACCTATCTAAATTATTATTTGAATGCCTAAATGATCTTAGATTAAAAGTCTAATAGTAGATTTGGACTCGGGAGGTTATGGGTCACTGTAATTTAACTTTTCTTTTGGTGTTTGACCATGTTGGCCCGAGGTTTCTTTTATTGACTTTGGCCTAAACTTATTTTTGCTTAGGAATTGAGTCTTCTGACTTTGTATGGCATTGTGGAGCACTCTCTGGTCTAGATCGGACTCATCTGATAGATTTATAGTGAGGGAAGGTGATGTTTATAGATTAGATCTAGTCGGGGACCTAGGTAAGTTGAGACTTGACCTCAATGAGAGAATTGTCCTTAATTATCTTGTTTTGCTATGTGTTACGTATTTGGGAGTACCGTCCATGTGAGGTAACGAGCCTATATGCAGATTCTATGTGATTCTATGCACAGGTAGAATAATAACCTTTGCATGTTTATCTTTTTTAACTTACTTTACTTGTGTCATGACTATTTGTGCCTCTTTAGTAAAGGCATCTCTCATATGCTAGTTAACATGATGGAATATTATAGGTCAAGAAACATTATTGTATGACTACTGCAGGAGCTTATTCATGTTAGTATAATGTTACAGGCATCCTTCACATACTAGTATAATATTACAGATTTCATGTATCTATTTTACATGGTTAAATTATTTATCCATATACTATTTATATGCACCTTATTAGCATATATTGTTCTCATTACTTGTTTGAGATGATTTGAGCTATTGAGCTATTTGGGCATCTGAAACCACGTTTTTGTTGAGGTATGAGTTAGAGCATGTACATTATGTTCCTGTAGGACGTAAAAGATTTACCTTCATATTTGCATGTGAATAAGGATCTATCACTCTAGAGTAACTAAACACCAAAAACTCGGTGGTAATGTGCGCACAGGTTCAGAACCGACGTGTTTCTGGTTTGATTTGTGATACCGATTGATTTGAATGCGAATGTGGGAACTTTATCAGGTTTAAGTGATCCTTTATATTTGTTCATACAGTCTTACATGCTATATCCATGCGTATTATTATATATTGTTTGATGCATTCTAGGCATGCATAAGACTTCTTAGCAAACATTTTAAATAAATATTGAGTTGTGCATATCATTGTATATGCTCTTTTGGATACATCAATACATGCATTGAACTTGTTTAGTTAAGATAAATTATATCATATCATATACCCTATCTATGCATATTGTCATATGCTTTGACTGTGATTAGCCTATTATGTTGTTGTGTATTTTCTCTATTGTTGCTATTTATATAACTACGTAGGTTGGTAACATGAGTATCTTTTGACTAAATCCTCACGACTATTTCATTGGGGGAAGGTCAAGGATACTTACCGAGTAGTATACTGATGTACTCACTATATACTTTTGTACTCTGTGTGTAGATATTGGAGCTAAGTGATTGCGAAGTTCGAGAGCGAGTATCGAAGATAGAAAACGATCTAGTACTGAGCTGATAGTTATTCATGGCAGCCTAGAGTCAATATTTCAGTTTATGTATATTCAAATAGATGATATATTTATCTTTATATCAGCATTGTATTCCTACTTTTAATTGCTCAAGACTTCTTGTGATAATGCGTATTGAATTCTACATTTTTACTTTGTCATTATAAGATTATCTTTGGCTTGAGTAGTTGTGATGACTAACAGTAGTGGTTGAAACTATTGGCTGATGGTAGTGATTATCATTAGTGAGTGGTGGTTATTTTTGGTAATGATGATTGGTGGTAATAATTGTAAATTATAGCTACTAGTGGTGATGACTGGCTGTGGTGATTGGCGGCTAATGGTAGGCTAAGAACACAGATTTTTAGCTATATTTTGCACTCTAATTAATATACTTGAATTGTGTTTAAGTCTAATTACTAGTACTTTGTACTTATTACGTGTGTTATGCTGTGTAGGATGTGATTCCAAGTTGAGACACATTGGAGCTTTGAAGTATGAGTAAAAGCCTAAGAAATTAAATCGGAATTGCGTTCGGAGTTCGAGGACCAAGTCTAGATATCAAAAAGTGAAGAAAAAATCAAGTAGTGCAAATAATTGCACTATCGCGCCGCATGGGGCGGAGTGGCAGTGCAAATGTGGGATGTTCCTGACAAAATACAAGGTCTTTGATAAAGTTCACTAATGTGGCGCATGGTGCGCCGCGGGGCGCGCCGTGCTTGTGCAATTTTCCACCAACTTTTTTCACTTTGGCTCAGAAAGGGTAGATTGATTTGGGCCTGTTCCTACTTGGTATAAATACACTAGAAACACATTTTGAAGAAACTTTTGACCAACAACTGGTGCAATATGGGAGTTTATATCGAATCATTAATGTTGATGTTGTCTATGTCATTTGAACCATTGTGAGATAACCTTTTCCATATCTATGGAGTAGTTTACGTTAGGGTTTGCGAATATGGTGTATTGAGTGTCCTTTGTGGAACTAACTCTAGTTTAATTGCATGAATTCATTTGTGGAGCTTTGACTTGATTGCAAACTTTTTCACCGGTTTATTTAATCGAAGGAGGAATATTTTGGTGATTATTTTTGCATTATTATGTTTGGTTTAATTAAGTGAATCTTCTAAGTAATCGAAGGAGATTTTTGAATTGTTGATTAAACCAATTTAGGAGAATATTCAAGAGACATTTTACTAAAGACTAGTCCATTAACATGTTCTTTCATAGCTTCACAGTGCTTCATATTAGTTTACCTCATAGAGTTCAGATTTAATTGAGAGAGGGATTGCGACTATATGATTAGACTAATCATCGAATGAATTTTTGAGAATCATTAGAAAATTAGAAGTGAATTCAAACAGAGTTAGATCCCGAATAATTATCTTGCATCTATCTCGTCAATTACCCTTATTTCGCATATTGATAACAACCCATTCTAGCTCAATTCTCTAGTCTTCTGTAGTCGATCTTAGTAGTTTACTATTTCAGTTTGTTACTTGTGAATTTCAACCACCTTAATCAAAATGTTAATTATCTTGAATAGGGATAAGCCATGAATTAATAGAGCATTATTTAAACCAATCCCTACTGAGACGATATTTTACTATACTATCTTTGGCTAGAGAGCTTCCAATTTATACACAATGGTTTGTGCTCGTCAAATTTTGACGTCGTTGCCTGGGTTTGGAAATCAATAGTATTCAACAAAGTTTTTGGTGCTAATTCAGGAAGCGATTTCATATGATCTAGAGTT